GATGGGGAAACTGAGGCAGAGGGGGGGACGGGGCTGCGGGGGGACGGGGGGGCTGCGGCAGAGCTCTGGGCCGTCGCAGGGATGCCAAGCTCTGCCTGCGGAGCAGCGGGGATGTGGGGTGTGGGATGTGGGATGCAGGAGGTAGGCTGTGGGATGCAGGATGCAGGATTTGGGGTTCAGGATGCGGGATGTGGGAGGCAGGGGGTAGGCTGTGGGTTGTAGGATTCAGGATGTGGGATATAGGGTGCAGGATATAGGATGTGGGATGCAGGGTGCAGGATTTGGGGTGCGGAGTGCAGGATGCGGGATGTGGGATGCAGGGGGGAGGCTGTGGGTTGTAGGATTCAGGATGTGGGATATAGGGTGCAGGATATAGGATGCGGGATGCAGGATTCGGGATGCAGAGTGCGGGATGTGGGATGCAGGAGGTAGGATATGGGTTGTAGGATTTGGGATGCAGGATATAGGATGTGGGATGCAGGATGCAGGATTTGGGGTGCAGGGTGCAGCATGCAGGATGTGGGATGCAGGAGGTAGGCTGTGGGTTGTAGGATTCGGGATAGAAGATGCGGGATATAGGATGCAGGATTCAGGATGCAGGATGTGGGATGCGGGATGCAGGAGGTAGGACGTGAGATGTAGGATTCGGGATGCGGGATGTAGGATGCGGGATGTAGGATGTGGGATGCAGGATTTAGGATGCAGTGTGCAGGATGTGGGATGTGGGATGCAGGAGGTAGCATATGGAGTGTAGGATTCGGGATGGGGGATATAGGATGCGGGATGCAGGATTCGGGATATAGGGTGCAGGATGCGGGATGTAGGATTTGGGATGTGGGCTATAGGATGTGGGATATAGGGTGCAGGATTTGGGGTGCAGGATGCGGGATGTGGGATGCAGGGGGTAGGTTGTGGGTTGTAGGATTTGGGATGTGGGATATAGGGTGCAGGATAGAGGATGCAGGATTCGGGATGCAGGATGTGGGATGCAGGATGCAGGGAGTAGGCTGTGGATTGTAGGATTTGGGATGTGGGATATAGGATGTGGGATGCAGGATGCAGGATTTGGGGTGAAGGATATGGGATGTGGGATGTGGGATGCAGGAGGTAGGCTGTGGTTTGTAGGATTCAGGATAGAAGGTGTGGGATATAGGATGCAGGATGGGGGATGCAGGATGCGGATGTAGGATGTGGGTTGCAGGATTTGGGGTGCAGGGTGCAGGATGCAAGATGCAGGAGGTAGGATGTGGGTTGTAGGATTTGGGGTGTGGGATATAGGGTGCAGGATATAGAATGTGGGTTGTAGGATTCGGGATGTGGGATATAGGATGCAGGATATAGGATGTGGGATGCAGGATTTGGGATGCAGGGTGCAGGATGAGGGACGTGGGATGTAGGATTCGGGATGCAGGATGCAAGGTGCAGGATGAGGGATGTGGGATGTAGGATTAGGGATGCAGGATGCAGGGTGCAGGATGAGGGGTGTGGGATGCAGGATTCGGGATGCAGGATTCGGGATGCAGGGTGCAGGATGTGGAGTGCAGGATATAGGATGTGGGATGTAGGATGCGGGATGTGGGATGGGGGATATAGGATGCGGGATGCAGGATGCGGGATGCAGGATGCAGGATGGGGCATGTAGAATGCAGGATGCGTGATGTGGGATGCAGGATTTGGGATGCGAGATTTGGGATACGGGGTGTGGGTTGCGTGATGCAGGATGCGGAGTGCGGGATGTGTGGTGTGTGATGCAGGATGTGGGATGTGGGACACCATCCCGGCCGATAAGCCTGACCCCGCTGACCCCTGGGGGGGCCCCAGATTTGGGGGTCTGGAGCTACTCCGGTCAGCCCAGCCGTGCCGTGGTGGGGGCTCGCGGTGCAGCCTGTGGGATGCGTTTGGGATATGGTTTCTTGTGCCGGGACGGGGGTCCCCCAGCCATTTGGGGGGGACTTGGGGTGGGGGGGATGTGGCCGGGGGCA